GCCTATACTTAAAACAGTATATTTAATGCAAGCAGAGCATGTACACACAGGTACAATTGGACCACCGAGATTGTGTCGTTGAGAGGTAATATCCCGATTGGCTTTCCAGCTCACTGGAGTGGTAGGGCAAAGAACTAATTCCGGCCGTCGGCTTGTGCCAATCGATAGTACACCGTGAGTTGAGTCATCAGGATAGCATGATAACGAGTTTGTTAGGCCTGCTCCTAGCGACTACCATGATCCCCACGTTCATACACTGCCACTCTTGTGGCCAGATGCGCGCTCGTCCGAAATTCAACTTCCTTACTATTTTCCATTCCCTATATACAGAATACACTATTCTTCTCGTCTGGTGTCTCACTTCTCTTTTCCTACACAGAATCAGGCCTAAAGATCGCAGTGGAAATGGCTCTCCCTATTAACTGAACTCAGCACGATAGGTTCGGTTTCTTGCCTGCCACTAACAAGAACGCACAACGATAGCGCCTGTCTCGTCATAATGATCTTAACCGTTTGATATCCCCTCCCAAAACTTGTTTACTACTTTTTCAGGGCATGCGCCTTCCCTCGACGACTATATTTTGGAGGTGCTAGTAAATGAGCAGGTCGTTGACATTCTCCCGCATGTTCCTCGTAAGGAGTTGACGCTGAGGAGGGTGCTGGAGTACTTTTCCGGTTGCAGCCTCCAGGAGTATGACCACGACGCCCTGTGTACCCTTAACGAATCTTCATCGCGGCCCCCCGCCCTTAAGCGTACTGAACTGTGAAGTGCCAACTGACTGCCTTTTCCATTAAATGTTTTTATCCTTTTTTACTTTTATTATTTCATCTTCCGTCCTCAGCACCTGGTTTTATGGTCGTGTAAACTTTGCTTTTATCACTGTGTATTTCAGATCAAGTAAGCGGTAAAGTGTGGCCTTTGTTTTTTTAATTGCGAACTAATAAAACAGTTAAATGCCTTTTTGTCTGCATCTTTGTATTAAGGCTGCGTTTTCTGACTGAGGATGACATTTCACTATTGGCGCGGATGGGTTAAATATCTGCTGATTGTCTGTAAAATGTTTGAAATTCGGGGTATAAAAAGAGTAATTCTGGGGCCAGTTGACGATCATACCTGTGTTTATGATAAATTCTCAGTGGACCAATACATTTATCTGGAACAGGATAAAAGTTAAAACACAAGCAATATTCGCCTTACTATACAAGCGGGGAAGGGTGTGAGTGGGGCAAAGAGTGATAACAGACAATGGCTTTAACAACAAGGAGAATTAGGTGGAGCTCTTCCAAGGTGAAAACGGCGCGGAGGAGTGCAGTTAAATGGCCGTTGGTCGGGCTAAGCATGGAACCCGTAGAAGGTTCCTTTGTGCATATAAGACAAGATTTTCCTCAAATACACTGACAGACTGACATTCGCAGCTCGTTAGTGCGTATATGGCTAGACAGAGTTAGTGCAGTGCCACCGAAAGCATTATTTTGACTAAGCATAAGAGTGCGGTTAAATATCTCTCCAGGTACCGGACTGGAGGATACGCTGTGCAAATATACGAATTTTGAGAGAAAATATGCATTGCAAAGATGGCAGAAGGTGTTGACTGCAAAACAGCTAGAAAGTCGGGATTCTCTTCGAAGAATAGCAGTCTCAGTCAAATGACAGGGGACTGCTTCCTGATGCCTTGGCGTGAGGCCGACTTCCATTGACTGCGGGCGTATGTGCAATTGGGCATCTACAAGATACGGTTATTTTTAAAACGGATTTTCGCATTTTTAAACGCGTGAGCTGGTTTTGGGCGAAGTAAGCTCAAAAGTAAGTTTCAAGCAACGAGATTACGGAATCAGATAATTCAGAAGAAAATGATAAAAACCGGACCACCTGCACATAGTCGGCAGTAGAAGCCTGCATTTTTAGGCAGGTAATAATTTTATAGCATTGGAAGAAAAGCACCCCTTTCTTGTTGCTTTATCAACTCCCCTTCTGGACAACTGTATCAACTTCTCTGAAATCACGAAGACCTACCAACTATGAAATGCGATGTGCTCGATATAGTCAAGGTGCCGAATTTTGGAGGTTGCCGGCGCTCCACATGATAGTTCGAACCTCGGTTCCGACGACGTTCGTCTGGTGCTCACACGACAGCATGCACAGGGCTGGCTACCTTTTTTACATTAGTTTATAGTTACCTCAAACGCGCTTATTCGCGACCACTTGTTAGATAAATAGATAGGGTTAAAGAGGCCGGAGTGACGTGGGTTCAAATCTCGAGTGTGGCGGCAATTTCCGCGGCTACACTTTCTGCCGGTAATGCCTAAAATAAGTCACTGATTGTTTACGCAAAAAGCCGTGGGACGACTTGGTATCCAACTGAATGGGGTTACTACAGATATCACCTGAAGGAGACACTGTTGCCAAACTCTATCCTGAAATGAGATGCCATGGATTCTAGTACAACGTGGCAGATTGCAGCAGGTCAGATTGTTTAAGCTGGGGCATATGTCTTAATAGATGAAACCTCTTTCCTTTCTGACCTAAGTAGATTTCCATTGCCGAAAACGGTTAGTGAGCCGATACGGGGATTGTGCCCAGTGGCTGACAGAACCAGCCACCCAGCTAAGCGTGCTAGACACTACCTAGACCCCAAGAAAAGATACTGTAGTGGACCTTAACACCACCGTTGACTCATCACGCCAACGCTGCGGTTACCGTGATGGCCGACCCCTGGCCTGTCTGTCACTCAAGGACCAGGTTGGTCTACTGACACACACGGTTTAATCTCGCGCAATGCAACCAATCACAGGCCCACTCACACAAGACCTCAAG